AAAAAATACCATGCTGATAGCGTGCTCGCGGCCAATTTGCTAGCTCCACAAATACTGAATTTGATATCACGTGACGTCAATAGATGACGAAGGTAAATGACACGTCCAAACATGATAATCATGACACGGAAGTCATGTGTGGCATAATTTACCTCCACCTCGTAGCGTTGGGCTGATTTTAAAGTGACATATCAATCTTTCTTATTGGTGCTTCGCATATCATCGATTCCCACTCTACGTGGGATATAACAACTTTTTAACCTTTTTCTAACTATTTTTCTCCGGTGTGTGTTAATCTCTAGTAGTACCTTACTATAATAGGAATTTTGTGCCATAAACGAACTTTTGGTGACGCGTCAGATGTTGCCGCTGTGGCTTGCATTGAATGTGTTGCTGTTGGCACTTTGGGAACGAAACGTTCATGATCACATAACCCGGCTTTCCATCACTTGAAGTTATCCTATTGTCTTTACATCATAAAGTAACATCTGGGGCGTCTACGCTCAGAGACGTATGGTTACGAGAGAGGTATATTGCTTTGCGGTGACGGTTGTAACATTGAAATGCTAGATTGTGTACTCCACCAGTGAGGACACAGCGCCAGACCTCATTCACACCTAATCGGCACGAGATGAACAAAGATAGGGAAGTCATTTTGAATAGCAGAGCTTTCGCAGTTTCTTCTACTCTGCCTTTAAGGAAAGTGTAAGTACCGTGGCCAACTCTTCCCTACTCTCCCACGCAGTTAAATAATTTTAAGTAACACAGTTCCTCTGCTCTCGCAGTACTCCCTGAATTTTCGTGAGTGTTCCTGCGTCTCTTCACTTATCGCAGAGCGCTGTTTTTTGCCACTACTGTTGCTGATTACTTCAGTTTTATGCAAAGAAATTTTATAACAAAACTTTCACGCTCTGCGTGTCCAGTTCAGTATTGATGAGCTGTAATTCGTTCCACAAGTTACTCTTCAAAGCGATGTCATCAGTGGATCGCAGTGTATTCAGGTAGGGTTTGTCAATACACTTATTCCGTAGGGCCTTCATAAATGCTGATGCCTCGACTGAGTACGACGCCTTCCCGAAATCCCTAAAAACTAGGCATACTTGTTGATTGTATTGCGCGGTTATTACTATACCGTCGCTTTTCACTAACACAAAGCATACTACACCCGCAGCACGAATGGCGTTTGATTCACCTTCATTGGCATTCGTGTTCGCATGTTTGTATGACGAACACTTTTTAAAAATTCCTTCCCTAAAATAGCCGTCAAGAACTTTCAGTAAAGAAAAACATCTTGTATGTGCTAATCATTTGCCATTACGTTGTAACATTAGCCCTGTGAACGGCTTCTCAAAAGCCGCAAAACAGCTTTAGAAATTCTGGGACACTCCCCGAGATGTCTTAACCAGGCACATGCCGAATACTCAATCAATTATCGAAGAAAATGAATCCTTATTAGGAAGGAATTGCCACGTCAGCAACCTCTGCAACAACATCAGCAAGGCCAAAATATGCTACGCGAAGATTTGAACAAGCCGGAAATGTGAATAAAATGTTGCCCTTGTTACTTAATTATGTACTGTGTGTAGCGTCAGTGTTTAAAAGTACACGTAGGATGTGCGCATTCTCCGTGTCACCAGATTCAATAGCTGTTTTTTTGTTGGTGGTGGTGGTGTGTGCATTGTTGCCGTCATTACCCAATGCGTAGTACATGGCTTTAGGACGCTTCAGCATAAGATGCAACAACAGGGATCTCAAACAAGGCTCTGACAAGGATAAAGATGTAAACCCTATCAAAAGCAGATGTGGTTGAACTTTCTACAGAATTCATTCGACAGCAAAACGTTGGATGAAAAAAGAACACCCACACACACCATCTTAAATAGGATTTTTTCAGCCTCTGTTTTTTGATGCGTGTGAGTGGTACTTTAGAGTTATATTGCCCTCTGGAGCACATCACTAAAAACAGTGTTTCATGCAAGGAAGTGCACCTTCAGTGTAGTGTTTTCATTGGGCAAGTAAGGACACAAATAAACAAGAAGAAAACATCATTTATTTACTGAGCATCTATGACCAGAGGGGCAATAGTTTCCTCACGCCGAGATGAAAGGGATGTGTTTTAGAGCTTCTGAAAGGAAGCCAGTAAATACACGAACGCGGAAGTCTGAGGACGTGCAGGTCCTTTCTTGCGCGTTATATTGTTTTTTTTTTCTTTCTACTCCTACGGAAAGTTCCAGGCTTATCTAGGCTACAGCAGGCAGTAGTTATTAAAGACGATAATCTTTTTGAAATTGATTTTAGAAGAAATGTGAAGCCACATAAAGTTCAGTTGTAAATGCCGAGCTATAAGACATAGTGCCATTATCATCAACAGAATTTCTTGACCACTGCGCCACGCCCCTTGGGCAGTTGATGTCTAGCTCGAGCTGGGCGAAAACTGATCAGGTCCACGCGTCTGGTGGGTCAGACGGCAGCAGCCGCCGCCACTGAGCTTCGACCTGAGGAATAAAATTGCGAGATTAGGCACGGCCCTGTCGGCCGCCTTCGATGTGGTCTCACTCGCTCCGCCTCTCGCCACAGAGGATTCGGCCCCTCAAGGAAACATGGCGGAAGGAGGGCCGTTACGTGTACTAGGCCAGGATATTCGTTTTTCTGCTACATATTTTGTTAATGCGCTGATTCTTTCAGTACACTTTTGCAGTGAACCAAATTTCCGGATTGTTGAGTGTACTGCGCTCATGAAATGGCGTGCGACATGAAACCCAAAGTATCGCTCATAATAACATAGCAAGTGTGTATGCGTTCATGTTAAAGAATAACCGCTTGGATGAACATACCCCCAAGAGACTTTTTTCTCGCATTCGAACATGTATTAACACACAATTAACATGCTCAACTATAATAACTAGTGCGAGAATTTGCTCGAGTCGGCCACGTTGTGTCGGTGGCGATGTAGCCATCATCGCTAATTACGGGCCAGTAAACTGATGTCGGGTTAATACACTGCTTACGGACCAATACACTTCTGTCGGGCGAATACAATAATTATTGAACAATGCACAGATTGCAGGCCAACACAATGATTACGGGCCAATAGAATGATGTCGCATGAAATGAAGACAATGCAAGCAAGCAGACGTGCATTATTTAGCAATCTATTCAAGCGTCTCATTCCGTGAGCATTGTGCGTGACCTTCATGCCAACAGTCTCCTATGTATGCGTAATAATATTACACACCAAGAATGACAGTGTATGATCATCATAGTCACTATTGGCGTTTGACAAGTTTTGTTATTAAAATAGTTGCGATCATTGGTTTTATGACTGCGGTATAGTTAAGCAGACAAATTGAAGTTTGTTTATCTTGCCTTCTAATATTTTCGCGACATTTTTCAACATTTCATGCTTCTTAACCTTTTAGAGAGAAAACTAATGCCACTGTTAACCACTTTTCACCCTTATGGGTGCTTTGTATGTCCATAAATATTGTCCTTAAATAGAAGTGTTCTCACAAACGAAAACACTCAAGTCCAGGGTGTCTTGGCGCTTCAAAACACTCACGACATAACTGTTTTTGTTCGTCGAAACACTCTTTTTGTAGGGTGTACATGAAGCTGCCGTATAAGACTGCTTTATGTAATTTTTCCAGCATGTTATCGTTTATGAAAAGAACTTACCTACGATAGCCGCAAAGCGAGTTCACGTTTCAAAAAACCAGATATTAACGGTCGACTAAATATTACAAGCAGAACGACTATAACATCGCAAATATGTTAAAAAGTACGCGTACTTCTTTAGAAGCTAGCGCAAAGTATTTGTAGTATTTAAATAAAAACACAGAAATGAGGATGCTGAAATTTTCATCATGGATGCTGTCTGCTCAACAACACCACAAGTTAACACGTAAAGACCACTCTTCGTGCACATGTTACCATAATTTAGCAAGCAAAGTTTTGTGAACCCTTTTTGTGAATTTCTATTTCCTGAACGGTATACTTTGTGTCGTATTTTGCGTTCATGCAGACATTTCCTAAAATTTTGCAAGTTTTGAGTAACATACGTAAGTATTACCAATTAGTTAGGTTTTGTAGGGGTACAATAGATGTATTTCTGGTAGATATTATATACAGTGGCTAAATCGACACACTACTATCATAATATATCATAGTTTTATTTATACTGACTCACTGTATTCAATTCCAAGTAATATTCAAAAAAACAAAAGGTGTACGCTGCATTATTTATAGGAAGTTACCTGAGTTTCTGTGCTAAAATATTTAAAAGGCCGTTTTTAAGCTGAAGAATTTGTTCAAAAATTTTCAGCTTGAGGTTATAACAATGAACCGGTACCTTTAGGAGAGCGCATATATTGTTTTTTTTTTGAGAGGAACACTCTTGTGGGATAAGTTTTGATGAGTATATTTTGCGTCTCTTACGCTTTACTGATAATTAATACGGCGCTCCCACAATTTTCAAGACCACATGGGTGAAGAAAACTATTGAACACTAATATGCTCTTACTACACATGGCTCAATAGCTTCCAAGAGTTCATTCCCTAAGCGCGTTTTGCCTGTAGTCCTCCAAATATAGGCTGCATAAATTTTTTTTCAAGGATCGCATCGCAAAGATAACAGGTTTGCTTTCTCAATAAACGTACGGCACCACCAAAATGGGTGCGCTGACCTTAATGAGGTCACAAAGTAGCTGCATCAAAATAACGTGTATGTGTCAATAGTATAGGAGAAAGAGAAGAGAAACTCACTTTGTATCACTACCTGAAAGAGACTAACGAGGTATTTTAAGTTAAGTGCCATTATAACAACGTCTATGGTAAGCGCACCTTTTCAGCAAAAAACAATGTACGTTCCCGCATACTTCCTACACTGTCCTTTTTTCTTAGATTATACTTGGCTAGTACACTAAACGTGTTTAACCATTCGGAGTTTCGCGCTTCACAACCAGCTGCTATGTACACTAATGCATGAACACAACACTTCCATATTCAATCTGCAACGCCTTTAACGTTCATGCTTAGTCTTGAGATACAGACACTGACGGACGCTATTGTTATTCAAGTTTCACACGTGAACTGCTATGTAATACAGATTCTGATGACACTCCACGTCAAATTTAACACACGTTGTCGTTTTGTAGACGACCTCTGATTGATGGTTCTCAGCTCACGTTCCAGTTCTTCAAGCAGATCATGGAGAACTTCAAGTACGTAAGTCTACATGAAGCACACACTTAATGTGCCACGGTGTGCCTTTATGTCGCGAAGGAATAGCCCTTTGACGGCTAGAGCTGAACTACTTGAGCCACTCACAAAAACTTGTCCGTCCGTCCCACTGAGGTAAGAATTGACGTTCTTTGGGCCACCAAAAGTGCACTGTCGTGCCCGCGCACAATACGCAAGCTGCATCTCTGGCCTTTGATTCGAAGAACGTGTATCAATGTTCTCCGTAGATCACAGATGAAATCATGAAGCCATGTCTTGTCACAACCGTCCTTGAAGTTGCTCTTCAATAGATTCACCTGAGTCGGCCAACAAGCTAGTCCACCTATGCCAGCACGAAGAAACCACGTTGCAATAGGCGGGGCCAGTTGGACTGGAGGTTCATGTGCTATGGTCAGTTTAAAGGACTACCGGACAAGAGGTCTTAAGACTGTCTATTCACGCTCTATATTGCTTGCCCTTTAAAGAGGTCACCGATTGAAAAAGCTATCGCATGAATGCCGGCTGATATCATAGAGCATATGTGTCACAGTCTCGGGAATTCGCTAGATATGTGACGACACAGAAGCGAGATTGCCGCTCCTCTGTTACCACACGAAGTGAAGCCTGCTCTCGGCATTATGTCCTGAAGGCAAATGGAAGTGGATGTACTTGATGTCCTTGATGTCCTTCACTGCATCGCACGCGAGGTTCAATGCTGATCGAGGGGACCCCTGTAGAGTGGGCAGTTCTTCCGTGCGAGACAGCACCTCAGGGGTAGTCGAGGTAAACGGACCAGTAGACTGTGTTGAGGATGACGAAGGACAGTGGGAAGAATACCCTAGAGATCTTGTCCACGAGCAAGGCGCGATCACGCCGGCGAGGTAGCCCGGTTGAAGAGGGTGCCGTCTCGATCTTCTGAGTGGGCGCACCATTTGAGAGCCGCCTTGACTCCTTGAAAGCAAAGTAAAAGAAAGAAAATTTGCAATAGTGCTGCTTTCGAGGTTTGTCAGTAAAAACAGACAATAAATACGAACAGCTCTAGAACAATGAGTCACAAACTTAAGATTACTATATCGCTAGTTGCTCTGCTCGTTGTGGTGCTCTATACATGTGTTTAACACATGAAGTACCTTACAGGGAGGCATGTTACTGCACTTAAGGGTAGGAGTTCTTGAATATACTATTATTGTTGGAACTTTACGTCCCGAAACAGCCTTGTGATTGCGAAAGGCTGCGTAATGTAAGGCTCTGAAAAGTTCTACCACCTGGGGCTCTTAACGTACACGTACATCAGCACGCGGGACTACCATTTCAATTCTATCTGAATTCCACCGCCGCGGCGAGGATTCTCTCCAACGAGCTTTGTTTCAGTGACCAAGCTTCACTTCGGCATGGTTAAGAGAGAGAGAAGTTGTCAGTATGCAGACTTGTTAGCATTAGTAGACAAGGTAGAAAAAAAGAGGTTATTCGTAGAATCAGTACGATTGACAATGTTCGAAGAGAGAAGCTTACCGTGATTTTAGCGGAGATGTTGACGGGCCTGGCCTTGCGATACACGAGGCTCTCATCCGTTTCACCCATGAGGATGTTGACGAGCGCGTACTCCATGAGCGAGGCGAACACGAACACGGTGCAGGAGGACATGAATATGTCGATGGCCTTTATGTAGGACACGGGGGGCAAGGACTTCTGTGACTGTGCGTGCTGTGTGGAGAGGGTGAGCAGGCTGGTGACGCACAGCGTCACCCTGGCTGGCACAGCCTCAGGTTTGATCCAGAAGGATATCCAGGACATGATGACGATCAGGCAGGTCGGAATGTACGTGTGGAACATGTAGTAGCCGAGGCGTCGCTTGAGCGTGAAGGTCACTTGGATGCAGGTGAAGTTACCTACAAAGAACGCACATGCAACTGGAGTTTAGAGATATCTTTCTAGCACACTCAACACGTTAAATGATCAGCAGCTGTCGCAAATGCATTTTAGTCATCATCTAAAATCATCATCACAGGAGAAGGCCGTGCAAGCGCTACTGGGTTTTTGCGAACGACTGGTCTGTGTGAACGACTCTGAGTGGATTGATTTTGTATGTGCATGTGTGTCCGTGATTTGTTATTATTCAAGTTTTACCTCACTCTTTTACCCCTGTTCACCCACCACAGTGCAGGGAAATCATACTGGATCCTAACATCTTGTTTTTAGAATACGCGTCTGTTACATGCATCGAGTGCCTAGTTTGAGATGTACATTGAGTGTGACGCGCTAAATGGACGACACAGACGAGACCATACAGGTGACCGAAGAGACGACAGGAGGCACTGCCAAACCACTACCCTCTTAGTTAACTAGCTGCGCCTCATCGGAAACGAGCTGGAGTCTGTAACCACGCGTCTGGTAGGAACTCAGTAAATTGCACTAAAATGGTGTTACTCTCTTCTTCTTCAACACTTGTCATTTTTCACATCCATTATTAACACTGTTCTTCCAGCGTATCAAGTACATCTCAATGATTATACTTAGTTAAACACTAGCCTCCTTAGTCAGTTTTTTGTCCATTATAAGAGCGCTTAATCGCAACCGGATGGTTCAATTGCAAACGTAGTTTCCTCTAACTATTGCTACCATTAAATTGTCTGGCCACAGTGTCAGGTATAGCACATAGACATAATTAGTCGTTGCTGCTGTGACTTGAAACATTCACGCCACGTTAACTGATAAGCTTTATCACTGGACGATTGAAGCACTTTAGGTTGCGAACAGAGCAAAGTCCTTATTTTCATTGGCAAATATGCGTATTTTTTTCGTTCAACATGATTAATTGATCGATATGCGGGGTTTAACGTCCCAAAACAACCATATAATCATGAGAGATGCCGTTGTGTTCTGGAAATTTCGATCAGCTGGGGTTCTTTAACGTGCGCCAAGTCTTAGCACACGGGCCTGCAACATTTCCGCCTCCATCGGAAATGCAGCAGCCGCAGACGGGATTTGATCCCGCGACCTGCGGGTCAGCAGCCGAGTACCTTAGCCACTAGACCACCGCGGCTGGGCTCCGTTCAGCATGGTCATTTACAAATACAGGCAGCTGTTGGAAGGCACAAACAAAATATGTACAAGTTTATCTACTGCTCATTATTGTGGTGCTGAAGGCTGCAAGTAAAAAAAAAAGGTAAAAATGCGAAGTGCACGTAAGCTTGTGAAGCGAACTAATACTTAAGCGAACTACCATCAAAGCTTGCTTACGTATTATCAGCAAGGTACTTTCTAATATCTTTTGAAAGATATATGCTAAAAGCTAGGTTTGCATCATTAGTGGTACCGACTCTGCCATCAACCAGTGCCCCCGACGCCCGCAACGAGAACATTTTCTGCAATATATACGAGCCCTTTAGCGGTCTGGCGTCAAAAAGAAATGCGTGGGCGCATAATGCACACTGAGATGATTTTCATTTCTCAAGTAGAGCCCACTCGAAATGTTCACCGAGGACGTACGTCCGCATCGGCGCTGTCGTTTTCGGAGCGTGCGGCCAATCTTATTATTGAAGATATGTCGAAACCATATACGCGAATTGTCGACTACACAGAGCTCAAACAGAGCAAACATGCGGGCGTCTATCATTCGTAGGCGAATTCTCAAGGAGTTCAAGCTCCGCTCTGGTGCGCTGATACTCTTAGTCATTGGTGAAACGTCAGAGAATATTTTTGGCCTACAGGTAACTGTGACCCCTGAAGGCGCAGATATATCAGGGTGATCCTGAAAATAAACTTATCAGGATGTGTATTTTATCTAACCATGCGTGCAAGCGACAATTTCGAAACAAATATGACTCATGTTAGCGAATTCATATGGCGTGTAATTATTACTTTTACTTTTTCTCTAATTCCTTAGAGGGACGAAACGGAGAATGAACTATGAAATAAGATTTATTTAACAGCAACGTTCCGCTGCTGTCGCATAGCACCTCTACAACAGGTGCCGAAAAAAGTGATTGAATGATTGATTGATTGAAAATCTTTATTAGAAACAAGAGATACAAGAGAGCGACAAGGGTGAGTCCCTAAACCAAGACTCCAGTGGCCATTTTTATACGCTCAGCCTGATCCAGGAGACCCTTCTGGGTCTCCAGGTCGACTCGTGCGAGAACGGCCTCCCAGGGCTTCCTTAGTAAGGTATGTACCAGCGGAGAGTTGATGTTTTGTGGCAGGGACATGCATTCCTACATAATGTGCGGAAGAGATGGCCGCCTCCCACACTTTGGACATTGACCGGCTTACACCAGTGGCCGCATTGCGTGCCATAGTGCCAAGTGCGGATAGGTGTTTGTCTTTATGTTTCAGTATTTGCGAGCTTCTTCTACTCTGAGCTGCGGATGCAGAGACGCGTTTATTTACCCTTCGCGATGTTGGCGCTACTATATGTCGTGTGGGTTGTCTTTTCGTATTTTAGTCGGGACGTCGTCAGCTCGGTTCGCTAGCTCGCGAGCTAGTTCGTGCGCCCGTTCATTTCCTGGGACCCCCGAGTGTCCCGGACACCATGTGATGCTGTGAAATTCACGAAGTACTTCCCCTACTATACTATGGGCTAGTAGTGGTAGATGAACGTTTATAAATATACGACAAGCCACTTGCGACTATGTCTTGACTGCCACTGGGTGCCCGCTTGCGTCTGCTTGTTTAATTGCCAATGCTATGGCAGTTGCTTCAGCTGGGCTCGTACAAGAAGTTCACACTGAGGCCAAGATGGTTATCTTAAAATGTTTGGAGTAATTTACTGCCGTTAGAATGTGACAATGATTGGACTTTGCAACGTCCGTGTAAATTACATCATGGTGCTCACAAAAATTTTCAGTGTGTTGTCTGGCTGGACTGTTCCCAGTCACTTTACCCTCCCAATATTTTGCCTTGCATTATTTTGTTCTCTTAGAATTCACAGCTAGTACGTTTTTTACCATAATTATTGGGATATCCCTCTTAATCGGAACGTAAATGTCTGTAATAACAATATCTCAACACCTGCCTACAGATTTCTAGATATTGCGGTATTCCGTAAAACCTTCAATAAGCTAGTTGGGTTTCGTAAGACTTGTTCCAACGCGAGCTCATAGAAGTTCAAGGAATCCATGTCAGAGACAACAAAATAACGAACATCCGGGAAAGAAATAACAGTAAGCAGAATTATGCCCAAAGTTTCTTGTGTTAACACTTTCGAAATGTGCCCCGCCTCGGTGGTCTAGTGTCTAAGGTACTCGGCTGCTGACCCGCAGGTCGCGGAATCAAATCCCGGCTGCCGTGGGTGCATTTTCAATAGAAGCGGAAATCTTGTAGGCCCGTGTGCTCAGGTTTGAGTGCACGTTAAACAACCCAAGGTGGTCAAAATGTTCAGAAACCTCCACTACGGCGCCTCCTATAATCATATGGTGGTTTCAGGACGTTAAACTCTGTCCATCAATAAATCACTTCTGAAATGCGAAGCAATTTATTGCTTATTCCAAGCCCTTTTCGCATCTATCTATCTATCTATCTATCTATCTATCTATCTATCTATCTATCTATCTATCTATCTATCTATCTATCTATCTATCTATCTATCTATCTATCTATCTATCTATCTATCTATCTATCTATCTATCTATCTATCTATCTATCTATCTATCTATCAATCTATCTATCTATTTATTTGTCTACCTATCTAGTCACCTACGTTGGAGTGCTCTAGTGTTCGCCCCCTTAACTAGGGGGAAAAATTGTTATGGGAGGGAAAGATTGTTTGACAAATCCGACTCGCTGGTCATGGCATGATCATTTTGACAATACTGTCACATACCTCTTTAAACACTTTCCGCTAGACAGTGGTCCATATCCACGGGTGGTTATGTGCCACTGATATGCGGGTATGTTTCATAGGTGATGGACACTTAGTCTAGGAACATTGAGAACCCACATGGGTATTTTTACGCTTAAGTGTTCAAGAAACGTAAAGCCACGGAACGTAAAAAACAAATGTGGTTGCAGCAGGCATTGAACCTCAGCATACTGCATGGGTACGAAGTATTGTACAGCAGAGCTAAGTCAGGCCTCAAAACTGTTTTTCAAATAGATCATTAAGTTCGCGAAGTGTCATTCGGGAATTCAGTGGTGGCTATCTAGTTTTGAAAACATTAAAATCTGTGTGCTTCAAGAAATGTGTCAAATATAATTTAACAAACAGAAAAGAGGCATCTGCTATGTACCTGTGGCGTTCCTTCAACGGTGGAAGAAGGCATGTTCAGATAAGCATGAACTATATAGAGCAGCAATGATGAAAAAATAAAGCAACTACTTTTGTTAATCGTGTACACTAGCTGATTGAGTCCAATGCTCTAAGTGCTTCCTGCGAAGAGTGCATAGCCTTTATTCAAATATTTTATTTTCGCCCCGCCGCGGTGGTCTAGTGGCTAAGGTACTCGGCTTGTGACCCGAAGGTCGCGGGTTCGATTCCCGGCTGCGGTGGCTGCATTTCCGATGGAGGCGGTAATGTTGTAGGCCCGTGTGCTCAGATTTGGTTGCACGTTAAAGAACCCCAGGTGGTCGAAATTTTTGGAGCCCTCCACTACGGCGTCTCTCATAATCGTATAGTGGTTTTGGGACGCTAAACCTCACATATCAATCAAATTACTCAAATATTTGAAAGACGACTGTTAGTTATCCCCGTGAGGCGGTGAAATCAGACCTACTTAGCAGGTGAAACCAAAACCAACGCACCAAACAAGGCATCTACCATCCATTTGGAAAACGCCCACAGTGACCGCACCATTCTTTTTTTTTTTTGCCGTTACCAACCATTAATGTAGACACTTCATGGCCGCTCCTCAACGCTCACTTATCTTCCTCCCCCAAAGCAAAGAGAACAGTGTCGTCAGTGAGGGTGATTTCGAAGTGAATAGGTAGATGCGTTATTTGGTGCATCAGTTTCAGTCGCGCCAGCTAAATAAACCAGATTCCATGATTCTGTGGTAATTACCACTCGCTGCCTTTCAGAAATTTCGAAGTGGCTTTAGACTTTTCGCTGGAAGTACTTGAATTTGACAATTTGACTGGACCACTTATTTTAACTGGTTGAAAAAGTTGATTTGGTTAATTCCTATCATTACTGCCATAATCATTGTTTGGGCACATCTGAAGATGCCTTATTCTACAGTAAAGCTATATACACATGCTAGGGAAAAACCCCGCTGTTTCTCGGACCGAATGGCCACGTGATTAGTTTAATCCGACGCCGCAGCGGCGACGTTGAATGCGCACAGCCGGAGCTACGCTCACGGAATCCTCGTGCATACTCTCGAGTCGTGCGCTTATGCAGCACTTCGTCCCTCAGAGTTTTCCTTACCAAACTCATGTTTGTGGTCTCGCAGGGCACGCGCTGTGCCCTGCGTGACCAGGGCACAGTGCGTGCCCAAAACCCACTCACCATTTCTTCTTTCACACGAAACGCATACCGCCGTTGCCGCAAAACGAAAACACGTGGCTTTTAAGCCAGCAGCCCCCTCCTTAGCCACGCCAATCTGACTAATGTTGACAGGTCTGACACCGGATCTTCTCAATCGAGGGTAGACGACCGTCAAACGGACATATCGAAATATCGGTGATGCATTTACAATCATGCCACGAAAGGAAGAGAGCAGATAAAGCGAGGACGGCAAGTTTAGATGATGCCCACCTCGCGGTATGCGCCGTCAGCTGCAAAAATTTCTGCTCCGTTCTCTCGCGTGATTCCACCTTAAAGAAAACACTACAGGTGGCACACAGATTTCTCCTTCCTGTATTTTTTTAATTTATTGAACGCATTTCTTGAAACTATTTGTATATACTGCTAAGATAGAGTCGTCACGTCATTTTAGGGTCAACTCTAATTAAGCGCACTGCACTGAAGGTGGTGGACAGTTTTTATCAATATAGGAACGGTGCAAGCAGACATTGCTAATTTAAATTCGAGAGAGTAAAGAAAAATCAGTGCATTCCTACGAAATAAATGACAAATATTGGCTGAAGCAACAGGCCCTGAAGTCCATAATATCTATGTTGAAGCCGCCGACTGTCATAAAGGACAGATAGATGAATAGAGAGATGCACCGATGAATGGATGGACGCATGAATGAACGGATGGCAGCCGGGTGGAGGGTAATATGTATGAATGCGCCAACGGACGGATAGATTCACAAACGGCCGGGCAGACGAATGGCGCAGATCATTACGTATTGTGCTATGGCATAGTTTATTACACATAAAATCAGTTTGCGCATGTTCTCGTCTTATTGTTCTGCACGTGCTCAGTGGCTGAGTATTGTGACTAGGTTGGCTCTAAGAAGCTTCGCCCCCTGAAGTTTGGCATGGCCAGCATTACTTTAACGAACGCATAGCATAATATATTGGTCCCAGCAGAAATCGAATACCGGCATTCTACGTGGCAATCGTACATTCTAACACACAGCCACGTGAGGCCTCGGAACTTCTTTTGAAGTTGACCATAGTACTCGTGAAACATAAATCGTAGTGGCATTGCCGGTTATACAATCTTATAAACAGTACGAACGCACTCCTGTTATACAGTCATCACGTCCACTTCACGAGAATCGTAGTAAAGCGCCATCCATTGAAGCGCATTTTTCCATCAGTGTCCAAGACCATCATCCTCGATGGCTCGAGTGCTGCATATCAGCTTACCGCTTCCGAGGTTGCCAATACTTATGTTGCTGTTGGCAACATTACGCAACACTAATAATGCCACTTTAGCACATGGCTGTGCGTACAAAACTTGTTAACGTCATAAAGTAACGTTTCGCTTTGAAAAATTTGGCAGATCCCACGTGCAGTGGTTACAAATGATATGCGAAGCACGAAGAAGGAAGGTTGATATGTCACATTAAAATCAGCACAAAGTTGCGAGGCGGAGATGAATCATGCGGTAAATGAATTCCATGTAATGATTATGAAGTTATCACACGTTTTTTACATTCGGCATGTATTCATGTCACCTGATACCTAATTTTGTATATGTTGAGCTAGCGAAACAGCCGCGAGCGCGCTAGAGCGTAGCATGTAGTCATGTTTTACATGACACGCATCATGACTATTATGTTTAGACAAGTCATTTACCTTCGTCGTCTATTCACATCACGCAATACTAAATTCGGTATATGTGGAGCTAGTGAAACGCCGGCAAGCGCATCATGACCGTGGTATGTTGAAATGTTGTTATGTGACAGGCTTTTCAGAAGTATCATGTTTCCACCAGTCACATACCTTCGCCGTTCATTCACGCCGCGTTATACCAATTTAGTATATGTGAAGCTAGCAAAACGGCAGCGAGCGCATCTTGATCGTGGCATGTAGTCAGGTTGTTACATGACACGCATGTCATGATTATGATGCGTGCGCCAGTCACATACCTTTGTCATACATTCACGTCACGTAATACCAAATTTGGTATATGTGAAGCTAGCGAAACAGCAACAAGGGCATCATGAGCGTGGCATGCAGTAATGTATTGATTGATTGATATGTGGGGTTTAACGTCCCAAAACCACTATATGATTATGAGAGACGCCGTAGTGGAGGGCTCCGGAAATTTATACCACCTGGGGTTCTTTAACGTGCACCCAAATCTGAGCCCACGGGCCAACAACATTTCCGCCTCCATCGGAAATGCAGCCGCCGCCGCCGGGATTCAAACCCGCGCCCTGTGGGACAGCAGCCGAGTACCTCGCCACTAGACCACCGCGGCGGGGAGTAATGTATTACAAGACACGCATGTCATGATTTTCTCTTTACTGTCTGCCGCTTGTGTTCGCCATGAAGTCAAGCCATACCATACGAGTTTAGCAACATATTTCGTGTGAACGAAACCACCCAAGAGCAGCAAGACTATGAAATGTAAACCAGGACTTCCGTGATATACATGTCCTGATTTTTATGTTATGAGTGTTCACTTATGCTCGTCATACAATCCTGTTATGCCATACCAAGGTTGTTATTGATACCATTAATTAAACAGCCAGGATAGCTAAATTTATAGGCAGCTGTATAGAGAAATATTTAGATAGATAGATAGATAGATAGATAGATAGATAGATAGATAGATAGATAGATAGATAGATAGATAGATAGATAGATAGATAGATAGATAGATAGATAGTCCGCAGTCGAGAAGCAGTGGCTACGGTGCCCGACTGCATGAAGGTCGTGGGTTCAATCCCAGCTGCAGGGGTCACATTTTGATGAAGGTGAATCGGTAGAGCCCCGTAACGGTGCAATGCTGGTGCACTTGAGCAAAATTAGATGACCGATATTTCTGGAGCCCTCTATTACGGCGTCTCTCCTTATCACATATAGGTTACGGTACATAAACACCCAATGTAATATTATTGTTCGCGCAGACATGTGTGTATTCGAAGCCAGTCTGGCACGTGCAAGTACCTCACGCAGCTAAACTAAAGAAAAAAATGGCTTTGCCGAACAAGCGAGATAGCACAAGTGACAGCAACACATCCTCTATTTCTTCAATGCCATCAGGATACGCCTATTCTTGCAGTCCACGAACTTCTCCGATTGCCCTAGCTGCCTTCACTCATCGTGTAGCATTCGCATGTGCGAATGTGGGAGGTAACTGTATATGCAGTACCTCAAGATTGAAATCATAAGAAGTAATTTTTGGTTCAGTTGTGTACAGATCCATGGGGCAGCGTCTTGCATTCTTCGTGTTCACAATGCTGGCGGTCGTTCTGGCTCCGTAAAAAATAATGGTGTTTCGCCATTCATGGCGCTATGGGGGCAACAAATGGGGAAGTGTCACTGGGACGCAACTGCATGCGCTGCGCTGTGATGCGGTGGTGTTTCTTTGAGCCAGAAGGGAGGATCTGACAGACACGAGTGGAAAACACGTCTATTGCCTCTCCGGCGGAAAACAATTCAACCCGCGTGTGACTTAAGCAGTGCTGTACCCATCATGTAGCGTCGCATCACGAACACTCTCTGAATTAAGGAGGACCGACGGCTCCCTTTTGAAAAGTACGCGTTTGAACTGGCATTGAAAGAAATAAAGAAGGCGTTGACGACGATAACGATTTGAAATGTTATACGGAGTGGGGCTATCAGCGATCTCTTCTGGATTACATCGCAACACATCTCTGCAAAGCACTGGTTTTAGTGAATGCGGCTGCTCCAGCAAAATGATCAGTTCTCGATCTAGTTTTCGTCTCAGCGTGATGTAAGCGGTGAGAGCACAACACGAATACGAGCCGTCTACTGTTATCTGTGGCGCTAGGGCACGTGCCAGAGGTCGCAATCATTTCTTTATCATCATAGTTCATGGTACCTCCCCGCACCAATTTCCCTCCCCCTCTCCAGCCAGTGCCCATTTATACAGCTCTGACAAAGGAGGGGTGGGGTATTTTTTCTGGGCTTGTGGACCCATGTAGAGCAGGCTTCACGCATGGGAGGAAGTTATCGTATGTGTCCTTCGGGCGGCGAGAAGACCGACTTGTTTTATCTGTGCTTCTAGGGTGCAAGTTTGTAACACTCGCGCACTTTTATTTACTCGTACAAGCTACGATGCTTGGAACGAGGTATCTATGCGGAGCATACATGGAACATGACGGAAACAGTGATGGTGAATATCCGCAGAGAGCGTATACATACAGGTATCACGTTAAAATGAGCAGTACCTTCTGTTTTAAAATTTTGGGCTTATACCTGTCGAGTAAACAGTGGTGCAGTCGCTGAGCGCCGTCTCGACCAGGTTGTGCTGAGGCAACTCGATGGCGTCGTCCACAACCAGGGGCACGTTGTCGTCCCAGCTGAACACCAGGTCATCCGTCGTGTACGACACTGCGTCCATTAAAATGTGCACATAACTTGCCAGCTTGGCTGGAATCTAAACTTAATTTTCTGCGTGACGAAAAATTGCAGTAAGCTAATTACCCATGGCCTCTACTTGAGTAACGAATAGCTTTCCATGGTTAGTGGTGGCATTGTGAGCTTTGTACGAATACTAGACACACACTCACACGCACACGCATGTATATTTATATATATATATATACATACATACATATAATATATATATAATATAATATATATAATATATATATATATATATATATATATATATATATATATATATATATATCCTGCCCACGGCAAGTTATATTTTCACCCACTTTTTTTTATATTTACATTATAATTCGGTCTAATATCTTCTCTTATACTTTCCTTCGCATTATTGTCGGTTAGATCTTAATAATAATGTGTAAAACACAGAAACACCAGCCCTTAAGTATACACTTCTTTCCTTATATATATATATATATATATATATATATATATATATATATATATATATATATTCAAGTAGATCCTCCGTGAGCGGTGACAACATGGTTTATTTCGATGTTTAGGCCTAGAGTCTGGCCTTCATCAGGATCCTGATGAAGGCCAGACTCTGGGCCAAAACGTCAAAATAAACCATGTTGTGACCGCTCACGGAGGATCTACTTGACTACTTGCAACGTTACGGCCACTCAACCAGCATGCCTGCCCATATATATATATATATATATATATATATATATATATATATATATATCTGTGTGTGTGTAGTTAATTATGCAGGATTTTTTGTTGAAGTTCGTTTGTTCGGAAAAGAATCTTAGAAAAATAAGAATTAAATAAGATTAGTATAAGCGCTGTGAGCCGGAAATTATGTTGATACGTTGTTCAAGAAGCGTAAACAATGAGAGACAGCTAAAAAAGTATTGCTTGAGTCCCGCGTCAAAATGGCACTGAAAAGAGCATTGAAAGGCATTAAAGTTATAAATACAATATCATTATTTTGACCTGTGTTGTCAAAGTAGAATAAAAAATAGGTCATTATACGAGAAATTTCTATCTGCTCGTTGTTTAGAATCAAGCGTCATGAAGCTAGAGCTTATCTATTTCTTTTGGTGTTTCTAGTAGACTGGCACCTCTTTGAAACTCAAGTATACTTCAGTAAAGCCCAATGTCTGAAAAGTCTTTGTCACGAGTGCACAAGATCGGCAGGTGCAGAGTTCTTCACGAACCTCGCGTACTGTTCCTAAGAATTTGATGCTGTTTCTTCATGTAAATATTACATGAAATCGACAGCCTCCCGTCGGCACGTACAGTCCTTGCTGCTATCAGCATGCTCGAAGAGCAGCTCTTAAGCTGACCGAATAAAGATTTAAGGGACAAAATAAGTGGTCAAAAATAAGTTTTGATCCAGACCGAATGACAGACGCGTTGGAGACACTTTATAAAAGTATTACTTGAAGTGTACGTTGTTTTATTTATTGAAAATTTGGCAGATGATTGGTGAACTTACAGCTCTCGATCTTCAAAGTGCAGACTTGCGTGTCGTGCGGGTATGTTTCGAACTTCATGGCGCAGGATAGGAGGAGGGTGAGCCTGCAAGCACAAGGTCATTTACTGCAAATGCAGCTAAGATGTGTACGCAGTATGTGATCACCGAAACAATGTGCGTCACTTTACTCGGGGTTTCAGTTTGGTATGCAGGTATTGATATCTAAGACACAGAAGCATAATAAACGTCCATGATGGAGCTACTTTAAAAAAAATATATCCTGCCTGTGTGGAACACGCAGTGCAGCCACAGCGAAAACTTTAAAGTGGCCCTTTTAGAATCTTCTCTAAGTCCACCTTATTAAAAAAGTTGTTGCACTGCTCGGCTGCTGACCCGCGGGTCACCGGTTCGATCCCTACCGCAGTGTTCACATTTCGATGGATGCGAACTGATGGAAGCCCATGCATTGCGTGATGTCAGTGCACGTTGAAAACACCGCGTGGTAAATATTTCCGCAGCTCTCCACTGCAGTGGCTACTACCTTTATCTCACGGTTTTTGGAACTTGAAACCTCATATGTTAGTAAAAGAGACTATTGTAACCTCTTTTGCAGTGAGAATGACAAGCACACTTGGAAGGTATTCGCTGCGCCATAACTCGTTCACAATTTTATAAAGTGGAGTAGTGTTTATAAAGTGAGGTTATTTTTCGTCATTTCGTTGAGACGCGACGTGCCCACTGAGAATTTGTGATGTACTGTATTGATTTTACGATGCCGTGACTATGACAATGTTTAATTATGCTTCAGTGGTTTTTAATGGGGTGAGGTACGCTCTAAGCCTAAAATGGCCAAATGGGAGTAACGGGTGCTCTTAGTCTTTGAGACCAACTGTTACTCCCCAAAAAAACCAAGTTAAACAAGATGGCCGACACATCCCAAAACGTTGGAGCACTAGACATCTACCGGAGTACGTCACAGCGTTACGTTACTGGTTCACGTGCAAGTGGCGGTTGGCAAAACACTCCCGCCGGTGGCTCAGTTGGATGCAGTTGCTCGGTGCTTGGGGCAAGTTTTTTTTTTTTTTTAAGGTTTAGTCTTTATCTGACAGTGGCAACGTTAGCTGTGGTTTGTCTCAGAGAACATCTAAGCATGCAGTAAAATGTGTGATTATTTGCCACTCTGGCGGGCTGTTTATCTCGGAGAAGTGCACACACGTGGCGGCCTGTGCCTGGAACCACGGCATCGTCTTCGAAAATGTGCAGTGTTCACTGTGGCGTGTAGTAAGCGTTGGAAGGCATCAACAATATTGGTTCACCTTTACGAACGGTGAAACTGGGTATATTATGCGTCGTGTGTGCAATGTGAAAAAAGCGATGCGTTCTGTTTGCGAAAAGACTGGTATTCGTAGTGGGCTGGCTGCAGTAACCACTTGTCGATGGAACTTAACGATATGACATTTTGGTCAAGGTAACAATATATTTTACGTGATCATCTGCGAGTGGGTACATCTCAGCGTATGCGTGGCGTGCAGGCAAATAAAAGTTCATGATCTCCGGGTGATATATACGACTACGCATGAGCTCTAAGCATGTTGTCTATAAGCCGGTATCTACGCTTTCAGTAATCTCAAAGAGGCCAGAAAAGCAAATTCAAAAGCGTGTGGTTTCTTTCATAGATAAACACCGCATTATCACTTCATCTAGTTTGGTTTCATGAAAGAACATAGGACGAACCATGCTGCTTTAGAGCAAGAGGAATTCATATTCAATGCTTTTAAAAGCGAACTCCACACTTTAGGCATCTTCGTAGGCTATTCATGTTCGTTTGACACAATAAATCATACTACGCTGCTTAAGAAATGTGCACGCTATGACTTTTCCGGTGCTTTCTGACAACTCATTGAACCATACCTATTGTATCGGCAGTAGAAGGTAGCCGTGAGCAATGGTGCCTTCAATTTACTGAACATTTCAGTGAGTGCACCACAAGGTAGCATATTCGGGCCTTTGCTTTTTTATATATACAATAATGATATTGTAAAAAAATGACACGTCTGTAAAATTTATTATATACGCTGTTGATACAACCTTGCTCCTTACTGCTGAAGTTTATAAAAATTTAATTATTTACGCAAATGAGCTACTGCCGAAGTTGGCCACGTGGAAAAGAATTAACTGTTTAAAATTAAACACATCAAAGCAAAAGCTGTATATTTCTGGCCGAAAAATAATGAAACTCCTTTTTATGAAGTATTAGAACTCAGCAGTTCAGAACTTCAGATTGTAGAGCATATTAAGTGTCTGGGAATAATTTTCTATGAACACATGTCTTGAAAAGCACATATTTAAAAAGCCTTTTGGCAATCTATCAAGAATTTCAGGCATATTATCGTGGGTGCGCTTCTCACTACTTAAGACAGTGAAACTTCTCATCTACAAATCCTTGTATTTATCTCATGTTAACTAGTGTCATCTGGTTTGGGCTACGACCACGTTAACAAATATCCCCAAATTACACGTAATACAGAAAAGAGCTGTTCGTGCCATCGCAAATGTTTCGTATTGTTGTCACACCACCTCCATATTTCAGAACATGAACCTACTAACTCTTCCCCGCCGCGGTGTTCTAGTGGCTAAGGTACTCGGCTGCTGACCCTAAGGTTACGGGATCGAATCCCAGCGGCGGCAGCTGCATTTCTGATGGAAGCGCAAATGTTGTAGGCCCATGTGCTCAGAGTTGGGTGCACGTTAAAAAAACCCATGTGGTCGAAATTTCCGGAGCTTTCCACTACGGCGTCTCTTATAATCAAATGGTGGTTTTGGCACGTTAAACCCTACCTACCTATCAATCAATCAATCAATCAATCAAATAATCAACCTACTAGCTATACCAGAGTACTACACCGCATTGCTTGTGAAACGCTATCACGCAGCATTGAAGTGCGACGTCTTTTTTGGAACCATTCCCGTCCCAAAGCACCACGAAGTTGTTCACAACATCCGTTTCAATCACACGTGCTTTTTCCCACGCATGTGCCCCAAATATACGGCAAAGAAATGCTTCGCTCTTTCTTGATTGATTGATTGATTTGTGGGGTTTAACGTCCCAAAACCACCATATGATTATGAGAGACGCCGTAGTGGAGGGCTCCGGAAATTTCGACCACCTGGGGTTCTTTTAACGGCGAGCGTTAAGGACGAGCGTTAATTTTAACAGGCGAGCGTTAATAAATTACCAAACTTCGTGGCGACAACCTGACGAATGCAAAGAATAAATGTCAGGGTTCCAGCTGAAATTGAACCCAAGCATTCTGCGTGGCAATGAAGCATATTACCACAGAGCTACGCCCGGTTTCGGAACTACTTTTCAAATAGATGTTAATTTTCAGTTAAACGTCAATAAGGGTTGCAGTCCTGCCTACCCAATTTTATAAACATTACACACGTGCTCCTTTCATACATTCGTCACGTCTGGTCAACGTTAATTGTTGTTAGTTGCCATGCACTGAAGTTGATTTTTGTGGCAGTGTTTAGGGCCAGCATCCTCGTGAGCGTCAGCGCTTCATATCAGCTTCTGGTGTTGCTAATGCGTAGGTTCCAGTTGGCATCATTGCGCAATTGCAGATAACTAGTTACATAAACATCTGCAACTCTTCAACATATGTCTGTTTGTTGAACGTTTGTACATATGTTTAGCGTCATTGTAGCGTCCCACACTAAAAATTGCAACATGGTCACCTTCCCTCTGCATGTTTCGCATAACGTCGATTCCCAGGTACGTGGGATCTGCCGAATTTTTTTTTCGCACCATAAACTCTGTATGCATCAGCTTGCAGGTGAGTGGTGACGAACTGCGTCGCATTTTCAACTGCTTTTAATGGTCTTACATTGTGTAGGGAATTACCGTCCAACATTGCTAGTGGCGTTTTCAACTCCTAGTTTTTAGCTTCTCCACGGCATGCGCAACGTGCCCAGTTCTCGAGCGGCTGGCTGATTGTTCTTTTCTCCAAAGACATTGTTGACTGCTATTCCACATTCAAAAGAAAAATTATCTGTTCTTGTTTTTCACCGTATCTTTTCAACGGTATCAGACTAAATTACCTATATTGTTACCGCCTGCGTACCATCTTGCTGGTTCTGTCTGTACTGCAGTGACAGTGTACTTTTGAGGTTAAAAAACTCTTTTCGGGATAATACATATTTCGCAAAATTAACATTAAGCGGATTTGTTTCTGCCTTGATACTGGTATTTGTCCGCCTTTGGCTTCATGTAAGGTTAACGGCCAAGTGTGAATACATTATTTGAAGAGCAGCCATTACACCAACATTGATACGGCTTGCGAAGTAATGTTTCACAAAAAGGCCATTTGATTTCGCATTTCATTTTACACTAGACTTTGTGGAAAGTAAACGCTGCTTTGGTGAGTGTGTGTGATTCATTATTATGTATTCTTTCAGGCATGTATTCCTCACACTTCTATTTCTTCTTGCGGTAATCAGAAGCCTCACATGTGCCTGGGGTGGCATTCCACTGGGCCAAATTGATGGAAACAACAGTTCTGCACAAGTCGAGTCCTTAACAAGTGGAAAAGTTGGCCTTGGTTTTGTCATGTTGACCCAAACTTCCCTGTGCAGCAAATTCGACTTTTTTTCCACGGAAGAGGCAGAAAATATTTGGTGTAATATGCCGATCCGTTACTGTTGGTAGTGGTGTGGCGTTATCTACTGCATGTGCTGACAAGTCGCCTAAAAAATGGAGAAAAATAATGAAGCATTTCTTCTATAACTTTTGTCTCGTTTATAGTTTCAAGCACACAAGCCGTGCTCTTCCAAGGAGCTGTGACCTTGTGTTCAGCGGCTGACAAGAATAAATATTCATTCCTACTAAGAGTAACTGGAAACGTGTCCAGAGAGAGTAACTACGAAAACGCGAGAGTAATGATTAATACTATTTGTTAGCCTTCGGGGAGCAAAGGATGGGAGTATGGGTTGGTTGTCGGGGAGCAACTGGAGGGAGTAGCTACTCATGCCCCGCAGAAGAAACTGAAAGGAGAGCAATAGTTCGTCCCCCTGCAGTTACGCCTTCCAGGGAAGTAATGTAAATGGCAACACATATACTACCATTGCTCTCTTTTGGCTTGGAGTGTAGCATTAAACTACTCTCGCGTTACTCGATTCACATTCTTTGAGACTTGAAGTAGTATTGTTTTTTTATCACCCCATATCAGACGTCTGAACGAGAATATTGGCTGAACATGACAACTTTAAACTGGGGTATCAAGTCGCATTGTATGGCATGAGGTGTAACGTCGCTCTTTTGTCACGCCATATAGACCTCATAACGCAAATCTCGACTGGATATGATGCCTTCAAACAAGCTTATTTAGGCGAGGAAGATCACTGAGATGGGGTGGACACACGGTAAAATTCTTGAATACTGCGCAGACGGCCCATCTTCAAAACATACGATTCCGTTTTTTTTTTATTTGCGTGTGATAGCACTTCGGACACCAGCTTAGCGCTAGTGGCCAACTACACCACGAAAGTCAGCTGCTGCTACTATCTCGCAACAGATTTCCCTGCTAAATGTGTCCGGTTTACGAGCAGACCAATAGAACACGTTGAATACAATTGCATCGTCATTAACCAGACTAAGGTGCTAGTAAAGTCAGAGCACTTTACGTGTCACCAGACTGGGTAGCCGAGTTGTCAATGCTGACGTCAACGTTCTGAGGTTTGCAGCATTGCGTGGCACCGGTCACTTTTCATGTACGTAATAGACGTCAGTGTGTGGCACAAACTGATCCGCTATCTTCCTTTCCAGCATGACGGCCAAAATTCAGGTCAATAAGTAGTTTGCATCAGCTAGTGTCTTCTCTATGTCAACGTCTATTTAATTGTTCGTTAAGCAACGTGATGCAAGAAAAGAGAAGCGAAAAAAAAAACTATGGTAACCAGATAAGCACTGTTATACAAAATGGAACACCCAATGACTCAGTCATGTGCACCCTGATCGGCGTTATTACTATGCATTGAATGCGCAGTTTGTTGAACAAATCGGCTTGCGCGTTTCTGCAACATTTCAGGACAGTTTCGCATAAGGTTAGCCCGTGTGTGCCGCACAGTGAGTGAAATAGCAGTAATAAAGGAAAGTTTACGTGCCAAAACAATTAGGGGCTTATGAGGCATGCCCTAATGAACAATTCTGGAATTTTCTCGTTCTCGTGTTCTTTAAAACGCGTGGACCTTTGTACACAAGCCTCAAGCACTTTGACTTCATGTATAGTTGCACCCACAGTAGCTGGGATTGATCCCGCGACCTAATGATGAGCAGGTGAGCTGCACCACAAGGGACAAGGGATAAAAGTCATGGAACGTAAAATTTTGAAACATCGCCTTCTCAGTTTCTATAAAAGACTGCACAATGGTAGCATTTCACGTACATTTGTGGGGTATCATGTACTCACTTGACCATATAGAGTATACTGCCGTCTGAGTAGAGCCATATGTAGTGATTCGGAATTGTCATCTCTTGGAAGGTGACGCGCTTTGCATTCTTGAAAAAGGAGTCGGGCCTCCACATCTGGTGCAGCCAGTTCACGGGCAGGAGCCGATACTTGGTGGTGACGTTGCGCGGCAGCCTGAGCCTGTGGTCGTACCAGGACTGCGACATAAAGATGTCAGCGACGTACGTCTGTGGGAAGGAGAGATGGAGTCACGTGCATGGCACTGAAGTCATCGCACGGTAAGCACGAGCAAAAAAAATTTGCCTGATCCCGCTTTTTAGGAATCGGTATAACGCTTAAGTGAAACGTCTCTTCACATAGGTAGTTGAGCGTTAGGTGCGCAATATTTTGCCACAAGGGCGATGGGACAAATGCTGCAGCAACAAATTGCTAATTCACGCGAAGAACGGAAAGCAGCTTTAACCTTGCAGCGCGCACTTCAAGCTGAAAGCACGCACGAATTGAGCAAGCTCAGGATGAGCACGGGCTACGAACTGTCACAGGTCGACTCTGAAAGCGGGCTGTTCAAAGAGAAAGACGCAAGAACGAGCGTACAAGTATAGAAGCATGCAGAGGGCCAGCGGGAACGACAGTCTTTGTTAGTTTTTTATAATCTGTTCATTCATTGTTTACAACGTAATATCTGTGACAGAAGAGCTTAAGTGAAGCCGGGGTGAACCTCGGCATAAGACACGTTTGTGCTAAAATATTTTGTTAGTCTTTGATTACCGACAAATGTAGGGGCACCAAAAGTTCTCTTTACAAACTCTAATCTCAATCTTACCACGCTGAATAAACTGGACCATGCCCATAGACAGTGCACAAGCGTGTTAAGTCTTATAGTGTATATATGTAGCTACGTAGTGTCGGATTATTTTCAAATGCGAAGCATTTCTTAGCGAACTTTAGCGACTTCGAGCGTATCTATCTATCTATCTATCTATCTATCTATCTATCTATCTATCTATCTATCTATCTATCTATCTATCTATCTATCTATCTATCTATCTATCTATCTATCTATCTATCTATCTATCTATCTATCTATCTATCTATCTATCTATCTATCTATCTATCTATCTATCTATTCATCTATCTATCTATCTATATATCTATCTATCTATCTATGTAGTCGCTTACGTTTGGGTTCTCTCGTCGTCATCGCCTTAACTTGGCATCTACCAAAGTTAGCATGGGAGAGTAAGATGGTTTGATGAATATGACGCACTGGTCGAGGCTGGAATATAGCCAAAATCCCGTCGCGTACGTCGTCAAACACTTCCCACCAGACAGTGACGCATACTCACAGGCGGGTACGTGCCGCTGGTATGCGGGTATATGCCACACAAGATTGACACCAGGAACGACCAGAACAGACATTGGCAATTTTAACGCGTTAGCGTTAAGAAATGCCTGATATCAGTAGCGTTGACCCGACGAATGCAAAGAATAAATGTCAGGGTCCCAGATGGAATCAAACTCAAGCATTCCGTGTGAAAATGAAGCATCTCACTACAGAGCAATGCCAGGTCTCATAACTACTTTTCAAATAGACGATAATCTTCGTGAAACGTCAATAGTGGTTTCAGTGCAGCCTACCCAATTTTATGAAAAATACATACGTACTACTTTGATACAGCCATCACGTGGGGTTTACGTAAATTGTGGTTAGTTGCTAATGCGCTGAAGTTCATTTATGTATCAGTGTCTAGGGACAGCATCCTCGCGATCATCACCGCTTCATATCAGCTTCTGGTGTTGCTGATACGCATGTTTCCGTTGGCATCGTTGCGGAAGTGCGAACAACTGGTTATATGAATATCTGCAGCTCGTCTACATATGTCTGTGCATACAACATTTGCACATATATTTAGCGTCATTTCATGACGTGTCGCTTAATAAAAAAATTGCAACTCGATCACCTTACCTCTGCATGGATCGCATAATGTCTATTCCCAGGTATACGTAGGATCTGCCAATTTTTCTTCTTTTATTCTGACCTTTTTGGTGTGTGTATCTTGTTTATTGCTATCATCATATTAGGATAGCCGGCTCTACTGCGCTTACCATGTCATATGTATTTCATAGTGTGTACTCAGAACTGTACAAACAGATCTATAAATGCATCGCAAAGCTATACTGTGGATGACCAAAGTCGAAATCGCCTTTTGTAAGTGTGTGAATGTGGAAGCGTGAAATTTATTGCTAGGAGACTATTCAGTTCTTGAAACTTACAATGCTGAAAGGAAGACAAATCAGGGATCGTCAGCAAATGTTTTCTAAAGCTGACTTTAAAACTACGGGTGTTCGATCCTCTGTTGTGTTCACCAAAGCAGTAATTGTTTGGGTAGCTAGAATGCCACTTTAGTGTTTATGTTTATTGAGGATCAATTGAACTCTCACATACAGCTTCTGTACTAATACACTACTAGCCATATGATGCACGTCTGTCAATATATGTTGCATTCATTCAAGATCCTGCTAAAGTGAGATAGAAAAACCAGTGTCACTTATAGTATACAGTATATTGCTTTACAAACTACATTGCTACTCATATTCGGTAACTAATTGATGCAGAAAACACGAGTGTGCCTAGAGCTATTCTTCGTTAACGAGAATTGGTAGCGTGGATCACTTAATTAAAAAGCCACTGCTTTGCCTCAAAGGCGAAGCAATGAACGCGATAGCAACAACTCGGAAGGTCATGCGCAGAATGGCAGGGTGATCAAAACGTGCCCCGCGTTCCTCACGCATAAATGGCGCACGAAACATACTAACAGGCACTGATGAACGCGTATAAGCGTCTTAGGTGTTACTTCGCTGTGTTTGAAAAGCTCGCCCTTTTTGCAAACGTAGCCTGTGCATCGATTGCAGTAACCTTTGCGCACCCCGTAATTATAATAGAATCGCCCCGGTAAAAGCCCAAGGCGAGCAAAGACATACGATTGTCTTCACCGCAAGATAGATGCAGGCGTGAGTGTGCGCCTGCATCTATCGAAGTACGCGTGCGTGGGGGGATGAGAGCGCGCGGCGCCACTTTGCGACAATGTGTGAACGCGTGCTATTTGCGTAATCTAGCTGGTAATGCTGAAAACACGAGAGTTCTCCCCGAGACGTCTTTCACCAGTGGTAAGTGTTAGATATAAACAGCTTGCCACTTGAACGTTGAAGTAAGTGCTCCTTTGTCGCTCGTGACTTAGTGGCTAACGTCTCGGCCTCACGATTCAGACGTACCACGTTCGATTTCGTGCGCCAGATTCTTATTCTGGATTATTTTTTTTCTTGTGTTTTCATAAATATAGGTACTCGGCTTCTACTGTCATTAAGAGCGTGCTGCAGTATTTGGCCCAGTTGTCGGTGATTCCTCCGCCGGTGGAAAACTACGACGCCAGCGATTTGTTCCTCGGTTCCCTTGAGGCCATGCACGTTCTCGTAGACGTTTAACCTGGCGTCTAGGAGACTCCGAGGTGGTGCAGCCCCAAACGTCGCGGTGGTTGTGCACGTCTTCGCTGAATCTGGACTCGCGCTGAGTGAAGTGGCCGTGCAGCTGTAATCCTCGTTGTATTCACAGTACGAAGTGCTGAAGGCTTCCGAGTTGTTCGCACCACTGGAACTCGACTCTGTCACTACCATTTGTTTCTAGTCGTAGGGAATCTGAGACTTCTAAGAGCAACGCCTTGAGGTTGGCCATGTTTACTTGCACGCCCTACTCGGTGTCCTCGATGCTCACGTCGTCGTCGGTGACGAACCCGGGTGCCTCAAATGGTAGGCAAAGTTTCCCGACCCAGCCAAGGTTAGGTGTCGCAACAGCCACATTGCCGACACATGCTTTCCAGTCTTCGAGGGGCCGCTGCGGCGCCGTCAAAAACACCGGCTTCAGCGGAGGTGGTTTCTGGGGCAGCCGCTGTCTTCCGAAGAACACGGGCCTAAAGGCGCTAGCAGTCTCATCCAATCCTTGTAGTGTTCGCAGGTCGGCCGCATATGGCGGCCCATTGGCTTGGTGGGGCCGTCCGAAACTTCTTGCACCACCTGGGTGCCGCCGCCGATGGCGTCGCCCAGAATGTGGCCTTCGGAGAAGCTGCGTCCGTTTCGGCGGCGCAGTGAGCGCCTCTTCGGAGGCAGAGATCAAATCTTGCGTCATTGCTTTGCCGGTCGAAAACGGCGTCTTCGCCTTGGCCCACGAGTGACGTTCGGGCGAAGATTTGAGCAGGTCGTAGTGTCGCGTCGGGTTCGGTCAAAAGAACGTTGCAGATCCTCGACGAGGGATCGCACAAGTCTCCCTTCTTGGCGTTTACGTCGTCCTGTCTTTCATGCAGAGAACTGTAGTGAACTACAGAGAACGGAGGAACTCCGGCGCCATATTGGATGATGATGATGATGATGATGAAGATTCCCGGAGAATGGCACTACACAACACGGGGAATCGGCCATGAGGCGTGTGGCAGTAGAGTTTGTGAAGCAAAACAAAACAAAATAAAAAAATAAAAGGAGAAAAAAAGTTAAGGGAAAAGCTCGACTAGAATCCCGGAATGCCTATACTGAAAGTTTTTGATGGTGATGATGATACTCCTTGGAACTTCGGCAATACTGCAAGTACAGTTAGGTGCGCACTACGCCATAATTCTACCCTTCGCGAATCAGCGAGAGACCCATTACACGTCCGAAGTGGACGCTCAAACCTACGCAGCTCTCCACTTTGTTCGTGTGTTTGCAGCTGATGATGATAAGATGAGTTTGGGCCTTTGAAACACCCTCCTGTTGCAGAATTCTCATGCATTGACACCTTTCACGATTCTACGCTTCTTCCACGCAATATTACAAGCGTGAAGGGGGCTACTTCATCAACATGACGTTCGTGTGGTGCTTTTAAAAAAAACTGTTTGAGCTGCTTTATGCCTGTGTTTGTGGCTGCAGCATTCATTTTTTTTCACCCTCGTGACAAAATATTGCACAATAGGCGCTCAACGAACTCTGAGAAGACATGTTTCACTTTCGTCTTATACCGATCCTTATGACAGACGGATGAGCCATGTTCTTCCGAATCATCATCAAGTCGTAGCGCAGCACTATGGATGAATGCCTCCTTGCCCCGCAGACGCCAGGGTTCGATCCAGGTCATTTGGACCGAGGTATTTAAATGTGATGGGTGCGGCGATGGCGTAGTGGTTAGAGCATTCGCCTCGCATGCAAGAGGTCCGTGGTTCAAATCTCGGTGCCGCGCAGTTCCCAACCGGATTTAGAACAAAAAAAATCCGCGTGTTGATGGAACTGCATTAAGAGGCCTGGGGTGCCGGCCTCGCCGGTAACCACCGCCGGGAACGCACTCCCTAACCAGAGAAGGACTGGCCGCCCTGGTGCAGTATCTGGCCACTACCTCCCACATTCATACGCCAAATAACTCATGGCCCTCAGTCCCCAGCAGCTGCGAAGTAACTGACCACGGCGGCGGTCAGATCTGCAACGCAGCAGAGGGTGCTAAGAATCTCTGGATCCGGACAGGCCACCATTGGAACCTGAACTTGGCAACGTTTAACGCTAGAACCTTATCTAGTGAGGGGAGTCTAGCTGTACTATTCGATGAGCTATAAAGGGTGTTAAATGGAATATAATAGGGCTCACTGAGGTTAGGAGGACAGATGAGGCCTATACTGTGCTACAGAATGAGCACGTTCTTTGCTATCGGGGCTTGGCAGACAGTAGAGAACTGGGAGTGGGGTTCCTAATTCACAGAAAAATAGCTGGCAACATAGAGGAGTACTAGAGTTATAATGAAAGGGTGGTAGGTATTGTAATTAAACTGAATAAAAGATACAAGATGAAGGTAGTGCAGGCTTACGCACCTACATCCAGCCATGATGACGCTTCAGTTGAAAGCTTCTATGAAGACGTGAAATCGGCAATGAGTAAGGTAAAAGCACAGTATACTATAGTGATGGGCGACTTTCATGCAAAGATAGGGAAGAAGCAGGCTGGAGACCAGGCAGTAGGAGATTATGGCATCGGCACTAGAAACGCCAGAGGAGAGCTACTAGTAGAATTTGCGGATTTTGAATACCTTCTACCGAAAACGAGAAAACCGCAAGTGGACATGGAGGAGCCCTAATGGCGAAAATAAGAACGAAATAGACTTTATAATGACTGCACACCCAGGAATCGTGCAGGATGTGGAAGTGGTTGGCAAGGTACGATGCAGTGACCATAAAATGGTACGGTCTCGAATTCACCTAGACTTGAAAAAGGAACGACAGAAACTGATACGCAAGAAGCCAATCAATGAGCTAGCACTGAGAGGGAAAGTACATAAATTCAGAGTGTCGCTGCAGAACAGGTACTCGGCTCTTAGTGAGGAAACCAACCTTAGCGTAGATACAATGAATGATAATCTGACGAGTATCATAACGAGTGTGCAGTGGACGTTGAAGGCAGGGTAGTTAGACAGGACACTGGCAAGCTTTCCCAGGAAACGAAGAATCTCATTAAAAAGCGTCAAATCATGAAAGTCTCAAGTACAACAGACAAAATAGAACGGGCAGAGCTTTCGAAGTTGATTAATAGACGTAAAGTATGCGATGTAAGAAGGTATAACATGGAGAAAATTGAACACGCTCTGAAAAACGGAGGAAGCGTCAAAGCAGTGAAGAGGAAACTTGGCATAGGCAAAAGTAGGATGTATGCACTAAGGGACAAAGAAGGCAAAATAATTACCAATATGGATAGGATAGTTAAAATAGCGGAGGAGTTTTACAGAGATCTGTACAGTAGCTGAGAAAACCACGATCTTAATACTATAAGAACTAGTAGTAACCCAGATGACACCCCACCAGTAATGATAGAAGAAGTCAGAAAAGCTTTGGAGAGCATGCAAAGCGGCAAAGCTGCTGGTGAGGATCAGGTAACATCAGATCTGCTGAAATATGGAGGACAGATTGTGTTAGAAAAACTAGCCACACTGTTTACGAGGTGTCTCCTGACAGGAAGGGTACCAGAGTCTTGGAAAAACGCTAACATCATCTTAATACATAAGAAAGGAGATGACAAAGATTTGAAGAATTACAGGCCGATCAGCTTGCTCTCTGTAGTATACAAGCTATTTACAAAGGTAATTGCTAACACAGTAAAGAAAACACTAGAATTCAATCAACCAAAGGAACAAGCAGGATTTCGAACAGGCTACTCAACAATTGACCACATTCATACTATCAATCAGGTAATAGAGAAATGCTCAGAGTATAACCAACCACTATGCATAGCCTTAATAGATTACAAAAAGGCGTTTAATTCAGTAGAAATATCACCCGTCATGCAGACACTGCGGAATCAGGGCGTAGATGAAGTATATATAAACATTCTGGAAGAAATCTACAGGGGATCAACTGCTACCATTGTGCTTCATAAAGAAAGCAACAGAATACCAATCAAGAAGGGTGTAATGCAGGGGGACACACTCTCCGCAATGCTATTTACCGCGTGCTTACAGGAGGTTTTCAGAAGCCTAGAATGGGAACAGTTAGGGATAAGAGTTAATGGAGAATACCTTAGTAACCTGCGCTTCGCCGATGACATTGCATTGCTGAGTAACTCAGGGGACGAATTGCAACTCATGATTACGGAGTTAGACAAGAAGAGCAGAAAGGTGGGTTTCAAAATTAATCTGCAGAAAACGAAAGTAATGTACAACAACCTCGGAGAGGAGCAGCGCTTCGAGATAGGTAATTGTGCACTTGAAGTTGTAAAAGACTATGTCTACTTAGGGCAGGTAATATCCGCAGAGCCTAACCACGAGATTGAAGTAACTAGAAGACTAAAAATGGGGTGGAGCACATTCGGCAAGCACTCTCAATTTATGACAGGTAGATTGCCACTATCCCTCAAGAGGAAGGTATATAACAGCTGTATCTTGCCGGTACTTAGCTACGGAGCAGAAGCCTGGAGACTTACAAAGAGGATTCAGCTTAAACTGAGGACGACGCAGCGAGCAATGGAAAGAAAAATGGTAGGTGTAACCTTAAGAGACAAGAAGAGAGCAGAGTGTATTAGGGGAGAAACGGGGGTTAAGGATATCATAGTTGAAATAAAGAAGAGGAAATGGACATGAGCCGGGCATGTAGCGCGTAGACAGGATAACCGCTGGTCATTAAGGGTAACTAACTGGATTCCCAGAGAAGGGAAGCGGGTTAGGGGGAGACAGAAGGTTAGGTGGGCAGATGAGATTAAGAAGTTTGCGGGTATAAATTGGCAGCAGCAAGCACATGACCGGGTTAACTGGCGGAACGTGGGAGAGGCCTTTGTCCTGCAGTGGACGTAGTCAGGCTGATGATGATGATGATGAGGTACGTATACATCAACGGATAGTGACGGTGACGTCAACACCGACACCGGTAGCTAAATTCAGCCGCGAGATTACATATAATCGTTATCACCATTGAAAAAATAACGAATAAATGAACAGCGAAGCATGAAATAAATTGTTCACCATAGAGCCTTCGTCGATAGAATCCAGGCTGAGGACAGTAACGTGGAACTTGACTGATGTTGCTCTTCCTGTAAAAACACAAATATTCAGAAATCTACAAAGTGCATTTAGGTTCTAAAATAGTTCAATTGCCGTAGTGACATAAATACCCGTACACGTTTCCATGGCAACAGTTGTGCACCTTACACATGAATATAAGGTGTATTAGAACACCTACGGGTATAACTCAAAATATTTAACTTCCTGCTGCTCGTCATAAGAAGGATTGAGAGCATTTCAGAATATGCCAGCTCAGCTTCAATATTTAGGATTTTTCATTCCTGCCTGTTTTGTTTATTCTGGTGTACTCCAATTTTCGTCCTGCTTGAAAGTCTACGAACCTCAATGGTTATGCCAGATGAACTCCTGAGACAATCACAAGCAAAAATAGAACCGTAGTACTATACTGTACAATCAAAATGAGAATATCGCAACGTGCTAGCTTCAAGGTTATCAGCGCAACTGGCTTGGCACGCTCCATTAATTGCTTATTACGAGAGCTCATTAAATTTATGCAGATGTGTGCTAGAACTGCGTACAAATACGAATATTTGAAAACATCTTATTCTTTGTCTTTTTTCAATAGTGCAGTCCCTATTCAAAGCCAAAGAGGGTGAGGGCAACAAAGCAAGAAAGAAAAACAAAGCAAAAAATTTTTGAAAGAATGCAGGAAACAACGTATTTATTACAGTTTGAAACCTCCACAATGACACGGAAGACAACAAATAATAATTTGATGCTGTTACAGTGCGAGGATAAACAAAACAGTGAGAAAATCTCTTCGCGTAAAATATGATGTCATTGAATTTGGATAATGGCTGCGAGTAAGTATCGTAAATCGGAGTAAATATCGGAGTAAATATCCCAGAATGACACGCCCTCTTTCGAACGTGGCAAGTGCGCTGGCATTCATTTTAAGTTGCCCTCAAAAGTAATTCGTATACATTCAATGTTTAGCTTATCTCGAATTCGCGAGCAAAGATTGCATGCTCGCAGGTAAAAAAAAAAAGTGACTGACGCTTCCTCTCGAACTGCCACGTGATGTGGATGCACATTATCAGAAACCGAGAAGCACCATAAGGGGTGTTACACAGCCACAACATTGTGGGCGGCACATGAACAGAGATACTAAGATCATCTAAATAGTAATAACATAACTGACCACAACAAAACGTTTGAAGCGAAGATATTTTTTGTATTATTTCTGCAAACGAAATGTGCTAGTTACTGCATAGAATTTTATTACTGCCAGTGAACCAATGATTGGGTTCGTTTATCTTCTCACTCTTGTGATTTCCAAAACTCGATGTAAGCCACCACCCCTTCCCCCCACCCACCCCCAAATTAAGAACACATATACCGCGTTTACTGAGAATCGATGCCGAAATAAAATTGCAGAATTTAGAGAGCAAAGAGCAGGCCGACGTCAAGGTGGTTAAACGAAAGAAGTGTCGTGTTGGTTAAGCTTAATCTGTGAAATCTAAGTGAAAAATTATTGATTGTAAATGAGTATACTGAGAAATTTTCCGCATTGTGTCACTTGAAACAGATAACGCAGTGATACTATGATCAGACACCTGCCATTTGGTAGTCTCACTTTCCGTGTACGTTATCAACAAACGATCTTCCCATGCCGTGTTATTGCGAGTAAAAAGGCCGAGGTGAATTACTTTACGTCTGATTCTTCGTTTTAAACTTTCATGTCTTAACGCTATATCTATCTATCTATCTATATATATATATATAATATATAAATATATATATATATATCAATAAAGGTTTGAGTAAGTGAACACTATGAGAACTAATACTCTAAATAAACTGTATAAAATTGATTATAAGTTCGACGTAGTCACGGGTCGAGAATTCCCTCACCATTCTCCTTCGGTGGTGCAAGGTTGTCGTAGTCCTGCGGATTTTCCGGTAGGATGGAGGAGATGTCGAGGTTTTCATTTTCCCTCACGCCGTTTCTGTTCATGTCGCTAAAAAACAAACGGAAACGAACAAGAAATCACACTTATTGCACTCAGTTATGTTTTGCGATTGTTGATAATTTCCGGAATGTATGGTGATGCAATGCCATTGCTGGTGTTGATTGTCAAATGGCTTTGTCACAATAGTCAAGCAACTACGCAAATTAAGCGCATTAATCTACACAATATGGCTTTCTCGCCAAAGAATGTACGCACAGTAGAAAATTCGAGTTTCTATATAAGGCTAAACATCATATGAGCGATAATGCGTGCAAGAGCAATGAGCGACGTGACATAGATAGCCTTCGCGCAAGTGCTTGCTTGCATTGCGAACCCCATTCACAAAACTGCTTCGGGGAGTGATCTCCACTTTTGATGGCATAGAGTTATTCACTCCATCCAAAACTGGCACATTGTGAGCGGTAAGCAATGAAAAGTACAATACTTTGTTGCATACAGCTGCTTAAAATCTTTATCGTTCTTTTGCACTAATTGTTTCGATCGCAACACTGCTGTTACGCGCTGATAAGCCACAGCGCAAACGGCGCGGCACCTGTCTTTTCTGTTCAGCCTCGTTGCACGCTCAACAATGGCAACGTTCGCTCGTCGACGTTGGCCAAGAATGCTGAAGAACGTTGTTGTTGGTGCACGTCAAAAGGAAAGTATCGACCATCAGCAGTTCATCACTGAAGTGGATTATGTTGTGTTGTTTTTCTATTAGTCGCTTCACGGGCTCGGGCTTACTCGGACCGGACCCAGACGAGTCAGCTCAAAATTCGGCAGATCCTACGTACCAGGGAATCGGCGTCAAGCGAATCATACAGAGGAAAGGTGACAGTGTTTCAGTTTTTAATTCAACAACGCGCCATGAAATGACGCTAAATATATGTACAAAAGCTGAACGCATAAGCATATGTCGAAGAGTTGCTGATTTTATATAACCAGTTGTTTGCACTTGCGCAACAATGTCAACTGGAACATGCGCATCAGAAGCTGATATAAGGCGCTGATGCTCGCGAGGATGCTAGCCTTGACACTGCTACATAAATCAGCTTCAGCGCATGGTAACTAACCACAAATTATGCAAACCAGACGTGACAGCTGTATCAAAGAAGTAAATATGTAATGATTATAAAATTAGGTAGGTTCAATCACTATTGACGTTTTACAAAGATTTTCGTCCAATTGAAAAGCAGTTGCTGGACCTACCGTAGCTCTGCGGTAAAATGCTTCATTGCCAGGCAGAAAGCTTGGGTTTAATTTCAGCTCGAACCTAACATTTATTCCTTGCATTCATCGGGTCGATGCTACCGATGTCAGATATTTCTTAACGCTCACGCGTTAAAATTGCCCATGCGTGGTTAGGTCGGTCCTGGGTAACTACTTAGTGTCAATTGCCTGTGGCATATATCGCATACCAGCGGCACCTCACGCCCGTGAGTATGCGCCATTGCCTGGCGAGACGTGTTCGACGACGTACGTGACGGAATCGTGATATTATTAAAGTCTTGACCAGCACGTCATATTCGTCAAACCACCTAAACCTCCCATGCAAATTTGTGTTCACGCCAAGTTAAGGGGGTGACCATGAGAGCACCCAAACGTAATCAGATAGATAGATAGATAGATAGATAGATAGATAGATAGATAGATAGATAGATAGATAGATAGATAGATAGATAGATAGATAGATAGATAGATAGATAGATATTCTCAGTCACCGAAGATTGCTAAGAAATGATTGCCATTTAATATTTAGAGGACATGCAGTGGTAAGCAGCGGTCAGCAGAGTGCAGCAACTAGAAGCTCATGTGATCGTGATGACGCTGAGGCACATATCGATGGTGCTGACGCCACTCATATTCGCTACAATTGCCCTCCGCAGAAAAAGGTGCCATTCTGGCGGCCTATCGTGAGAACACCATTCTTCGGCCGTAGTACAACTTGAGGCAAGACATCTGGACAAGTTCGCGGCCGCGATAATGTACACCTGTGTATGGCGTGATTGGCTGCACAAAGTAAATGGCGAACGACATTTTGTCAACAACACTCTATGATCCGAGGTATTTGGACACGAGCTTTGCAGAGCGGCTGGATGTGGTGGTTTTGCTAATCCATACCGAGGAGCCAGAGGAAAAAATCGCCGCAACCTCCCAGAAGGTAACCGTGAACAAATGGCATTGCATTTCTTGCGCAAAAAGTACGCGGCGTAGTGATTTTCAAGGCAAAAATAATAAAGGGACGATGATTTGCGCCGTAATCAGTTATCTACACAATCATCAGCTTAGGAATGGCCGAAGGTGAGGCGCGCGCTTCACTCTATCTATGTTTAAGTTCGAGTGAGTGGACAAGAAAGAAGGAGCAGCAAAGCCTTGTGCTAGAGTGTACTAGAAGTGTTGAGTGGTGTCACTGCGCCTCGCTGTCTGATCCCTTCCGCGCTGCCTGCAGCAGTGGCGCGGCAGTCGTATAGTACTGAAAGAGCCGCGTGCCGTGTGCAGGAACTGCTATGCGCTTCAGCTGCTCCGTCGTGTTTTCTTGATGCAGATTTCTTCGTACCTGCCCATCCTTAATGTCTAGCACATGATGCCATAGCCCTTGAAGTATGACACGCCAATCTACTGAATTCGAGCTCCAAAAAAGCCCTTGTAAGAGATCGAAAATAATTCAGAAAGGGTGTGTTTTATACAGACATCTTCTCTCTTCCCTCTTTCTTCGTTGGTCAGGCGTCTACAATATTCAGGATAACTGAGCCGATTTATAGGATGCTAGCTGTGCTCAGAAAGCTGAGATTAAAAAAACAAATACTCTGCCACACTCACGCAGAACCAGAAAGCCATAAGTAAAGAGGGGAGAGGAAAGGAATGTGAATACCCTACAACATAAAATGTTCTCGTAACTTAACTTCTCAGTGTATACTAAAATACTTACATGCATTTACAGCGACCACCAAGTGCCAAAGTTAGGCGTTTTGCTGCACACCCCACCCACTCAAAAATAAAAAAGAAATCTCCCATGGGTAGCCTTG